ACCCAAATAATCGTGATTATGATTCTTTCCATAATCGAGCAGCCCTACCGGTTACTATAGTTGTCACATAAATGCAGTGGAGTCAACAGTACTGAACTGTAATGCAGTAGAAGTATGAAGTAGTCGTAAGGTACAAGTTCCTAAAATTTGTACTCAAGTAAATGTTCTTAGTTACTTTCCACCACTTTGATTAATGTTGATAAAATGTTGATATCTGACACAATAATAAAAATCATTGTTACATATGGTTCTAATTATAATGAATATGCAATCTCTGTAGGAGTCAAACAGACAATTTAACAAAACTCATAAATACACTTACTCGTCGACGTAATCTCTTCCTCTGTATTCAGGCGTTGACCTTGTGTAGGACTGCCTGTAGAGCGACATCCAACAGGACATGTGTGATATTGTTTTACTGCTCAGCAACTGAGACAACTACAGGTTTGTAGAATAACAACTTACTCATGTTCAAATTCCCTCTCAGTCCACTGTGGTCTTGCCCTCATGTAAGACCCACTAGATAGAGGACAGAAAGAACTGATTGACTGATTTGCTAATTAGATTTTCTGAAATAGATAAAGGCTGATATATGTGGGAGAACTGACCTGTCTCCAGCTCCTTGCACCTGCAGTTGGAAGCAGTGATAATAAGTAGTGAGATTTTATGACAGTTTTGATACCTACATGCCCAACAAGTAGTATTTCATTTTTCATATTTTATTTGTAGTTGACGCGAAAGAAAATTTTAATCAACACTCTTCATCAAAATTGTATGAAAGTAATTTTCGGCTATATAAAAATTTTATGTATCTGCTCTATGAAGTTAAACGGGAAGCTAGTTTTCTTTAGATGTCTCTTTCCAGTCTGTTCACACTCTAATAAAAAAAAACAAAGCAGAGTAAACAGTTTGATACTTACAGGTGTCCTGTAAATGTAGGTGACTTCTGAAATGAAAACACAAACATAAGGCTCAATGTCAGGGTGATCAAAGCGTACATTCCCATTGTAATATTTCCCACACGAGTACAGGAACTAAGTATATATACGTATATTTTTCCTCCTCACAACAAAAGAGGCACATTAATACGGTTAAATACTATCCAGTATAGCAGCACAGATGTTTGGAGTTGTTTTGCTCCGCTGTCCATTATATAAAATAGATATAAATAGTTATAATGTCTAGATATTATGGATGTAGATTTTTAGGGACACTGAATGAAGACCCATTTACTCGTCATGAGGAAGATTAGACTGTGAAAAAAATTAAAAGTTATGTCTTGTGTGGCTCTGGATTGAGACTTTAAAATGTTCTAAAAGGGAGCCTGTGGTAGCTGCATTACGTTGTTTGTACTTGTTTTTAACCAGGAAGGTAACCCTGAGGTTAAAAGGGATTCAGTGAGAATATCTGCCTCAGTTTTTACCCTACTTAAAATTAGGTTAATGTCTATGGAACCATTATTGTAGCAAAACTATTTACAAATGTGAGAGGTGTGTAACTGTATAGTACTGTAAAAGAAATCTACATCAATCTACAATAATGACTCCATATTGGCTCCTATTTAATCCTTCTGTAAAATATTAGACTTAACTCTGAGGAATGTGAAATGACATATTATAGACCTTTTTCACAGCAGCCATGAGGTGAACTAGAGTAACCACAGTAGGGGTGTACAGTTAATCTCAATATTATCGAAAACACAGTGTGACCAAGTGCAATATCATTTTTGATAAAAAGGTAAAATGTGTGACAAACAGCGATATAATGAAATACTGTAGTTCAGATTTAAGAAACCCTGTTTGTTTGGTACAGACCTCCTGCAGCCCCAACCCACAGCTGTTACCAATGACAACCAGTCCAGGTCCAGTCCCATTCAGCTCAAAC